TTGTTAGTGAATGAACGAGAAGATCCGAATTCATATTCACGAACACTGCTACTTTTTTCAGAATCTCTCGGAGGAAGGGGTAACCGTCGAGAACATTCTGCCACACGAATATCCTTTTACTTTGCTTAGGGTGGAGCGTAACAAATGGGATTCATCCCTGCCGATCCAAACTCCAGATAAAAGAGGGTTGAAGACTCTAGCGGAAAAATTTCTATAAATAGCTACAAAAAATTGACTTAAAATATAAATTCGTAGAAATTCGTATATCTTTGTTGAAGCATTATTTTTTTTGTAAAAATATCTACGAAATATTACCACAAATTACCATGTTCTCAAATCAAGAAATTATTGCAAGTAATATTTCATGAAAATGTACAATTTTATAAAAATTAGTACAAAACTTTACTAGTTTAAAAAATTTGAGAAACAACAAAATCTTAAAGAATTAAAACATTCGCTTACCTGTAGAATATTACAAAAAATTAACAAAAGTGTTCCAATTCTAGCATTTTCATGTTAATTTTAATAACGCTTTTAAAATTTACGTAAAATTTCTTAGATTAAATTCTGGCAGTTATATTTAATTTTTTTGGTAGAATTTTGTAGAATTATTTCCGGCAGGGAAGAGACTAGCAATATATCCTCAGTAAAAAAAAAATACCAAACGCTCACAGAACTGATAGTTTGCGTCGGATCAAGGGGCAAATTATTCGGAAAAACAGACACAAGCTTACTTCAATTAGAAGAACTTTTGCTTCAATCTAGATTATACCGTGTGTAATAAACTAAGTTGCACCGTGCTAACATAAAATATAATTCCACCCACTGGTCACGTCGATTTTTGATTCTTGAATCCGCGGAGGGAAAAGCAGTCCCGATAGTTTTTCGAAAAAATTCTAGAGTGTGGAGCAAGTAATTCTGAAATGACACGTCTTGCGAATTCTTGCCCGACATATATTTTTAAACAAAAAAGATATTTAGACGAAACAAGACTTCAGATCGCTTTAGCACACTAGTACAATTTTCCGGAAACTATCCTTTTCCCTTGACAGTTAACAGATAGCCGTAAAATCTGAATGCTATGCGAATTCTTGGCATACCTGTAACGCCTTACAAGTCTAACATTAATTTTAACATCTACAGAATAGGATTCGTATTACACTCATATTTTACGGCTGTCTGTTAACTGTCAAGGAAAAATGAGAATAGTTTTCGGAAAATTGTACTAGTGTGACAAAGCGATCTGATGTTTTTTCACCCAAATATCTTTTTATTTAAAAGTAGCACGCAAGAATTCTTAGCGTGTCATTTCTCGCCTCATTAAGTTACCCATACACATTTCGGAAATCCTCTGAGGAAAAACTGTGCAGTCCTGGCCTTTGGGATTTCCGGAGGGTGTGTAGTATTGTAGAAAACTGCGCAGACTTGCTCGCGTCCATTACTCACTGGCGAACTGAAAGTTATAATATTTCGGAGCGTCTGTGCGCGAGAGTTTGTTCAAGCAATCCCGAATTTCCGGAATATGTATGAGGTACCTTTACAATTCCCAACATGACCGCGATTTGTCTAGGATAGGGAGTCTTAAATAGCTATTGATTGACTTAGCTTTTATGTGCTTCGTCATTATATTTGTAAATTCAATATATCACAATGTATGTATCACATCTGCGATAGAAAACTATACACAGTCGTAATTTTAGACAATTAAATGTCATGTGCATTGCATGTAAATTGCATTGGAGTTGAGGCGACTCATGGAGAACGGTGTTTCGTTTCGGATTGCGACGCGCAGGAAATGTTGCAATCTTTCATATCATTATTCGTCATTCTTCTGAGTACTAAAGGCTTTTGTATCTGTTTACAAAACTCAGCGCAAAGTTAATGCACGATGTATCTTCCTTGCGTCACGTTACATTAACAAACTGTGATATCATTCTCCATGGTACTCCATATAGCACCAAAGCTTTCAGAAAACATTGTTGCAATGTTGCACTGTTTCTGAAATGTTTCTGAAAGCTTCGGTGCTGTATGGGACATTACACGAGAATAAATTATTTCGACCCTAGTACGACACGTATCGAATTAGAGCGTAGTTATACCTGTATAAGCGTTCATTCCTTACTTTTATAAATCATTCGTCGGTTCTCGAGAATGAGCTGACTTAGAAACGTACATTGACCGAGAAAGAAAAACTCTGACAGGATAATTTATACCGAGAGGTCTCGGGTACATTCACCACACGTTTCATACGATTTAACAATTAACAATTCATAAAACACTCAGTTATTTGGCACTTACCATAGAATTTACAATCGTAATCATTCATGCACACTTCAATCTTATATACTATACCAAATACGTACAATTGCAATTTCGTTCAGCGCAAATCTTACATACATACTATTTAATTATCGTAATTATCGTTCTTCATACATTTCATACAGACGCGCGCTTTGGATGAGTTTCTTGAAGGTATTTCAAGTATTTGCTCGTGCACATTTAGCGAATCAACTGAAGGCCTCGGTGAACAACGTTCTAGATATACATTCCTATCTCTACTCTTATCTTAATCATATATTTGCTTCTTATTTATACCTTGCAGTCTTTATCTCTTGCACTCTTATCTCTAAGTCGATCTTTAATTTACTTTTATTTTTATATCTTTCTCAAGTACGAAAATAAATTGCGATTTCACAAATATAATAATACGTGGTATAAATCAGCCACGTAATCATAATTATATAACAATGTACGAATCTGCCAATATGTGCAAGTAAAAAACGATATTAAAAGATCGACACAATATTTAAAAACACCCGGAATTGCAAGTAGATATTCATTGCAGTATAATTTATATTTTGATTACAGTTTGTAACGAATTTTCAAATTATTGCATTTATGAGTCTACAATATGATATACTGTGAGGTATTACGTTTGCCTTAAATAGTACACGTTATTAACTATAATACTGATCAATAATTGACAATACATCGATATTATCGATTGGCAAGATTTATCATGCGCGCCTTACCGATCCGAGTAACAGAGTAAACATCTAAATAAACTCTCAATTAAACTCAACAATACATTTAGTAACATTTTCAACAAGAGTTTCGTCCACGTTACAACGGCTTGGGTGAACATACAATCAATGTGATGATGTGCTAATGGTCATGTCATTGAGCATCGTTTACCAAATTAGCTGCAAATAACTCTCATACGTACCAAGTGACTGCATACACGTCAAGATGTATCTTTCTTATTGGGGATTAATAAAACAGAATAATTCTGGTATACAAGTGATTGCACGATGGATATGTGGCATATTGTGGCATATCTGTTATTTTATTGCAATATCGCCCTGTTAGATTTCAGATTTGAAAAGAAGATAATAGTTTTACTTATCGTTTCAGATACTAACAATCGCTGGTCGTATCACTCTGAGTCTCGTCATCTATCGATTCTGAGGATGAGAAGTTCGAATCGTCCTCCTCCGTCAGTTGTTTCTTGAGGTTTTTCTTCGCTATTATCCTTTTGACGAACTCGGATTTGGGAAGCAACATGGCCAGCTCTTCAAGAGTCTCGTCGTCCATCAGTTCTGAAAACGAGGAGTACAAGTCGCCCTCCTCCTTTAGTTGCTTCTCAAAGTCTTTATCCGCTTTTATCCTTTTGGACATGCATACGAGAAACATCCTGGTCAGTTCTTCATCAAACTCGTCGTCTGTCGATTCTGGGCATGAGGAGTACGAATCGTCCTCCTCCTCCAGTTGCTT